GCTACAGGGTGGGGTCAGCCTCTACAACAAAGACACACTCATCTGTACTGAGCTGCTAAACACCACAAATGATATGGTGGAAGTGCTGATAATCAAAATAGAGATCCTAAATGTAGTTATTGTCCTTGTATATAAGTCACCGGAGGCAAACCCTCAACAGTTTAAAGACCAACTAATGAAAATAGAACACTGCTTGGAAAACCTCACAAATCCAGCCCCGAACATCATCCTTCTTGGGGACTTCAACCTACAGCACCTGAAATGGAAGCACCTGGTAATACAGTAATATCAGAAAGAATACCAGGAAGTAGCCTAAATGAACAGGCACATGCAAATGACCTGCTACGGATGTGCGACAGGTTTGCCTTAAACCAGCAAATAGTAGAACCAACTAGGAAGGAGAACACGCTGGACCTCATTTTCACTAATAATGATGAATTGATCAGGAACATAATGATTACAAATACCTGTTACTCAGATCACAAGTTAATTGAAGTTCTGACAAGCATGGGGAATAGACCTTCAAAACCAGTCCAGATTCCCGGTGGAGGAGATTTCAGCAAATTCAACTTCAATAATAAACAGATAAACTGGGAGCAAATAAACCAGGACTTCACAGAAATAAACTGGGAAGAACAGCTAGAAAATGCAAACCTGAACTAGTGCCTGGAAAAAATAAGCTCAGTAGCACTAGAAATGTGTTCAAACTGCATACCCATAAGAAAAAAGAGGAAGAGATGCAGATTGGAACGGGAACGTTGTTCCCTCTATAGGCGAAGAAAACGAATCGCGGAACAACTTGAGAGTCGCACCCTATCTCAAGAACGGCGAAGAAGGTTAGGTAGAGAAATAGAAACAATTAAACTCTAGCTACAAGAATCATACAAAACCCAGGAGAGGCAAAGAGAGCAAAAGACCATCAGTGAAATAGAGAGAAATCCAAAATATTTTTTCTCCTATGCAAAATCAAGATAAAAAACCACATCTAGTATCGGGCCCTTGCGAAAGGGAGATGGAACTTTCACCGATGACAACAAAGAAATGAGCGAGTTACTGAGGAAGCAGTACGAATCTGTTTTCAGCAAGCCACTAAACACATTAAAGATTGATAACCCAAATAAATTTTTCATGGATATGATACCAACATCAAATCATATATCAGACATCACCCTATCCCCACTGGAATTTTGAAGAAGCCATAAACAGTATGCCTATGCACTCTGCACCAGGCCCAGATTCTTGGAACTCCATATTCATCAAGAACTGTAAAAAACACTATCGCAAGCCCTTCACATTCTGTGGAGACAAAGCCTAGATACTGGCGTTATCCCTGACATACTAAAAGCAGCAGAGATAGCACCAGTCCATAAAGGAGGAAATAAGGCAGAGGCAAAAAATTATAGACCGATAGCATTAACATCGCACATCATAAAAAATTTTGAGAGAGTGCTAAGAAGTAAGATCACAAAATACATGGAATCACAGCATCTCCATAACCCCGGACAACATGGTTTCAGAACAGGGCGCTCTAGCCTGTTGCAGTTGCTGGACCACTATGATATGGCATTAGATGCGATGGAAGACAAACAAAACACTGATGTAATTTACACAGATTTCACAAAAATCTGTGATAAATGTGACCATGGTGTTATTGCACATAAAATGCGTTCAAAAGGAATTACCGGAAAAATAGGCAGTTGGATCTACAATTTCCTGACTAACAGAACCCAATGTGTAATAGTCGACAAAATAAAATCCAGCCTATCAACCGTGAAAAGCTCAGTCCCCCAGGTACTATGCTTGCTCCAGTACTTTTTCTCATCCTCATATTGGGCATAGACAAGAACACAACCTATAGCACTGTATCATCCTTTGCAGATGACACTAGGATCTTCATGAGAGTAGGTAACATATAGGACACGGCAAATCTCCAGTCAGATGTAGATCAGGTCTTTCTATGGCCTACTGAAAATAATATGGTGTTTAACGAAGATAAGTTCCAGCTCATGCACTACGGAAAAAAATGAAAATATAAAAACAGAAACCACGTACAAAACTCAGGCAAATCATAACATAGAATGAAAGGCAATGTAAAGGATCTGGGTGTACTCATGTCGGAAGACCTTACCTTTAAAGAACACAATAAAGTAGCCATCACAACTGCAAGAAAAATGACAGGTTGGATAACAAGAACTTTTCACACTAGAGATGCTGTTCCGATGATGATACTTTTCAAAGCGCTTGTGCTCTCTAGAGTGGAGTACTGCTGCACAATGACAGCCCCTTTCAAAGCTGGAAAAATTGCTGACCTGGAGAGCGTGCAGAGATCCTTTACTGCTAGAATCCATTCAGTAAAACATCTAAACTACTGGGACCGACTAAAGAGCCTAAATCTGTATTCCCTTGAGCGCAGGCGGGAGAGATACATAATAATCTATACGTGGAAATTAACTGAGAAGCTGGTCCCAAACCTGCACACAGAAATAACATCATATGAGACCAAAAGGCATGGCAGGATGTGCAGAATACCCCCATTGAAAAGCAGAGGTGCAACAGGTACTCTGAGAGAGAACTCCATCAACATCAGAGGCCCGAGACTATTCAACATGTTTCCACTACACATAAGGGGCATAACTGGCAGACCCCTCACAGTGTTCAAGAGAGAACTAGACAAACATCTCCAAAGGATACCTGATTAACCAGGCTGTGACTCATACGTCAGGCTGTGAGCAGCCACGTCCAACAGCCTGGCTGATCAGTCCAGCAACCAGGAGGCCTGGTTGACGACCAGGCCGCGGGGACACTAAGCTCCGGAAGCACCTCAAGGTCAAGGTAGGTTATGTAGGGTTGGTTAGGTTTGGTCATATATCTTCGTTAGTTTTAACTAAAATTTAAAAAACTTAACTCATACAAAATGAAATGGATATCCTTATCATTTCATAAGAAAAAAATGAGAAAAAAATATAAATTCAGGAAAACTTGGCATATTAGGCAATTTGGGCCTTGCATAGTAGGCCAAGAACTGCATTCTGGCTACTTGGTACAACATTATACAGTATATATATATGTTGTACCTAGTAGCCAGAATGTCGTACTTGGCCTACTATGCAAGGCCTGATTTGCCTAATAAGCCAAGTTTTCCTGAATTTATATATTTTTCCAAACTTTTTCTTATGAAATGATAAATCTGTCCATTTCATTATGTATTAGTTAATTTGCTTAAATTTGAGTTAAAACTAACGTAGATATATGACTGAACCTAACCAACCCTACCTAACCTAACCTATCTTAACCTAGCCTAAACTAACAAAACTAAGTCAGTAAATTATGGTCTTAATATAAAGTAATAATAATAATTCAAATAAACTATTTGGAAAAAATTATTTCAAATAAAGAAAATCATTCGGCCTATTAGGCAAATCGGGTCTTGCATAGTAAGCAGAGAAGTGCGTTCTGGCTACTAGGTACGATATATATATATATATATATATATATATATATATATATATATATATATATATATATATATATATATATATATATATATATATATATATATTTTGGTAGCAGTCTTTCCTGTAGACATATATTATTGAATATGACCGAAAAAGTAAGATTAATAATTCTAACACGAATTTTCTCAATCTTTCGTACATTTCTTTTCACTGTTGGAGGTAAATCAAAAATCAATTCTCCAAAATTCATTTTTATTTCTAGTCTGACGCGACACGAGCGCGTTTCGTAAAACTTATTACATTTTCAAAGACTTTAGTTCACAAATACACAACTGAATAGAACTTACGCATCTCCGATTTTATATCTACATTTGAGTGAGGTGGAAGGGGTGATGTGGCATTAACACAAGACAGAACAAGAGGTGGCATTAATAGGATATTAATTTCATCAACACAAGACAGAAGAAGAGGTGGTATTAATAGGGTATTAATTTCATCAACACAAGACAGAACACGAAACAATGGGTATTGAATAGAAGTGTTTGTAGAAAGCCTATTGGTCCATATTTCTTGATGCTTCTATATTGGAGCAGAGTCTAGAGGTGGGTAGAATATAGTTGTGCAATAATTGGCTGTTGATTGCTGGTGTTGACTTTTTGATGTGTAGTGCCTCGCAAACGTCAAGCCGCCTGCTATCGTTGTATCTAACGATGATTTCCGTGTTGTTTACTAGGATTTCTCTGGCTATGGTTTGGTTGTGGGAAGAGATTATATGTTCCTTAATGGAGCCCTGTTGCTTATGCATCGTTAAACGCCTAGAAAGAGATGTTGTTGTCTTGCCTACATACTGGGTTTTTTGGAGCTTGCAGTCCCCAAGAGGGCATTTAAAGGCATAGACGACGTTAGTCTCTTTTAAAGCGTTCTGTTTTGTGTCTGGAGAGTTTCTCATGAGTAGGCTGGCCGTTTTTCTGGTTTTATAGTAAATCGTCAGTTGTATCCTCTGATTTTTGTCTGTAGGGATAACGTTTCTATTAACAATATCTTTCAGGACCCTTTCCTCCGTTTTATGAGCTGTGGAAAAGAAGTTCCTGTAAAATAGTCTAATAGGGGTATAGGTGTTGTGTTAGTTGTCTCTTCAGAGGTTGCATGGCTTTTCACTTTCCTTCTTATGATGTCTTCGACGAAACCATTGGAGAAGCCATTATTGACTAGGACCTGCCTTACCCTGCAAGAAGAAAATGAATTTTGGAGAATTGATTTTTGATTTACCTCCAACAGTGAAAAGAAATGTACGAAAGATTGAGAAAATTTGTGTTAGAATTATTAATCTTACTTTTTCGGTCATATTCAATAATATATATATATATATATATATATATATATATATATATATATATATATATAATATAACAACTCACCTGAGCAAATACAAAAGCAAACAAATACAAAATTAAAGAAAGGAAAGTAGTTATAAAAGATGGAAAATTACAGAATGTTTGAGGTTGCACAGTAAGAACTCTCTAAATAGTTTGTTTTCAATTTCAGATGAAGGAAGAAATTCCTCATCAGTTGTAGAGGAGTCAACGGGGTTACGATATGGTATGAACCGTACAATTCCCGTTGGTGGGCCTAACATACACTGCACACCACCTTCACATAGACCTCACAGTGATTCTGGTAAGTCATGTACATGTTAGGCATTTATTATTTAGTTTTTTTTAGTTTTTCTCATTCTAAACCCTCAAAGTGTGGTTATTGTCATGTATTGATCATCTAGTGTAGTGTGTCATCATCAAATAAATACTGGGTACGGTATTTATATGCATTTGCGCACAATACTGCACAGTACAAATACAATACAATGAACAGCTCTAAAGAAGAAAACCAACATTGAATGTAATGAAATACCTCTTTCTAGTGGACCCTTGATGGCTTGCAAGTTACTGGTAGTCTACCAGTGTCCCTAGCCTTCATTGCCAGTCATTTAGCCAGGAAGATGGAAAATGGAAGCCCCTGAATGGGAAAGGCCTCGAGAAGCCTACTTCGACCAATAACAGGCAAATACCTACCCCAGATCCTTGGTGAGAAGTGACAGTTCAACTACCTTTGCCGTCAAAGTGGAAGGGGCAATCCCAAGCCAAACCTCACCCAAAGAAACACCAACTCCAGACCCCAAAACCCTCTGATGTTTTGGAGCTGGGAGCAAAGGGGAAGAAACTCTTGGGCCTGCCGAACAACATCAGCTGGACCCAGGGAAGGAGATGGAGGGGCAAACTTGGAGTAGGTGAACACCACCAAAACAAGTCTGGATCAAAATATTACAAAGGGACTGAATTCATAGACAGCAAGCCACAACCTACACATGCTGGAAAATCTAGCCTGTAATGCAGCAGTTGCCTTATAAGGTGAGTCTACCTTTTAAAAGTAGACTCAGCTAAGACAGTGACAACAAATGTTGCAGGTCTCAGGGTGGAATGAATTACCCACCCAGCAAGCAGCATGGCAGAGGCAATAAGAATACAAAAATGAGGTACAATCTTCAAACTTACACCTGTAAGGGGTAGACTCAGAGGGCTGGTCCATAGTTAATCCTCCAGAAACTGTAAAGGGCTTGCAGGTTTCTGAAGGTTAACCAAGTAGGAACACAAGGCATAATGGCTTCTTGCCTTATTGAATAAACACTTAAAACAGCTTAGGGCAAAAGGCAGCTGTTATGGGCATGAGCAGTGTACTGTAGAATGAATAAGTAAACACCTTGTGTGACCCTTATCATCAAAAACTCAACTGCTCCAGATCTCAAGGCCTTGCAGAAGAGTCAAAGATCCTTGCACCATTAAGGATGAGGCACTTTCCTCAAGAAGATAGCCTTTCAGAGACAGCTACCCAAACCCACCAGAGTAGGTAAACCTGACTGAGCAGACCAAAACACCTAGGCATTAGAAATTCGAGTTGAACAGTTAATCTAAGGCCACACAAGAAATGAGGCAATGCTAAGATACACAACAGACACAAGCAAATGGATCCTGCAGGATAAGAACTGTGTCATTGATGCCCAATCCTCATCTAAAACATTGGGACTCAAAGAGCACTGTGGCAGCAATGAGGAGTGCAACCACAGTGTTTGGATGTATTGCAGCAGGCAAAATGAGTGGCAATCAAGGCTAGGGAAACGACAAGGAAAGGGCTCAGTACCCTGATGGTGTACAGGTGGAATTAACGAGTGAACTGCTTCATGACAACAGTTTCTGTAGCCCAATGAATTCTCACTAAGATCTTAGTTCACTTCTAGCCTTCAGACGAGATCCTTGTCCAATATGTCCGATATGAGGATGAGAAAAAGTACTGGAGCAAGCACAGTACCCTGGGGGACTGAAGCTCTTCCAACCCATAAACCGTGAAGAGCTCATTCCCCCAGGGTACTGTGCTTGCTCCAGTACTTTTTCTCGTCCTCATATCGGTCATAGACAAGGACACACTCTGTAGTACTATATCATCCTTTGCAGATGACACTAGGATTTTTATGAGAGTAGACAAATTAGAGGACACGACAAACCTCCAATCAGATGTAAATCAGGTCTTTCTATGGGCTACAGAAAATGATATGGTGTTTAACGAATATAATTTCCAGCTCATGCACTATGGAAAAAATGAAAATATAAAAACGGAAACCACGTACAAAACACAGTCAAATCATAACATAGAACGAAAAGGCAATTAAAGGATTTGGGTTTACTCATGTTGGAAGACCTTACCTTCAAAGAACACAATAAAGTAGCCGTCACAACTGCAAGAAAAATGACAGGTTGGATAACAAGAACCTTTCACACTAGAGATGCTATACCGTTGATGATACTTTTCAAGACACTAGTGCTTTCTAGAGTGGAATACTGCTGAACAGTGACAGCCCCTTTCAAAGCTGGAGAAATTGCTGACCTGGAGAGCATGCAACAATCCTCTATTGCTAGAATCCACTCAGTAAAACATCTAAACTATTGGGATCGAC